AGTATAATAATATATATATATATATATATATATATATATACTAATAAATCTAATTTCATAGTACTTGCTGTTCTTCTGAAGGTAATTGTAAAATATTTAAATTTAATAAAATATTTAGTAAAATATTTATCTTTTTTTATATCTTTATATATGACTTTTTATGATTATTACATTTTTTTTAAAAACGACACCATATTTACGTTAAACAAACCCTTTCTTAACTGATATATTTGTACGCGGCTATGTTCAGCTCGAATAGTATATCGTAAGTGTGTATATTCAGATGGTTAGTGTCGATGATATAATTATATTTAATCGAATGAATTCAGATATTCGAATCGAATTAATTATTATGTTTCTTTATATATTAATTTATACAATTAACCTGTATTGATTTAACAATAGATATTAAGATGTTCATTAGGCATGAAAATCTGAAAATACTTTCATAAATTCAATAAATTTTTTTCTGCATATTACTTTTTTTTTTTTTACTACTTTGATTCTTTCAGACAGTGTTCAACCATTCAACTTATGCAATCATATTGTATTTCTATTTTTTATATTTAATATATTTGATTTTATGAAATATGCCATTGAAACAAAGCAAATTATGTCTGTTTTACTTTACGAAATTATGAAAGCACAGAAAACAGATGCATAGATAAAATCTAAAACAGGCCAATCAAAAATGCCGCGCGAAATTCGACTATTTTAGATTATTTAAAATGTAATATTTAATCATTTTAATAAATTTTCATTAAAATTTCATTAAAATTTTGGATTAGATTTGATTTACCTCATGTTGGCCGCTTTACTGGTAGAGAAATTCCTGCCGGGTATACTAGCAGCGAAATGCGTGTTGCTTTTCTCGGCACACGAGTTTCTGAAGGTGAAGCAAGCTCTGCTAAGTAATCGTAATTTACCACGGTAAGGCATTTTTTTCGTTGATAAAACGGTTTGATAGGAACGCACGTTGTGAATGGTTCCTACAAGAGAAAAAAAATGAGGATATTATCAACGAACGAAAAAGATAAAGTACTCGTCACGAAAGACGAACTACAACTAGTATAGTACAGTAATACAACTGAACACATTGCGCCACTCTGTTATTGAGTTGTAGTAGGGGAAACCACGTGATACGATAAAAAATGATTCAACTTCGAAAGCAACCGGTGATCGATTTAATAGCGATTTTTATTACTAAAAATCTACAAACGATAAATCATTAATATTTTAATCCTAAATATAATATTTATAATTTGATATAAATTGTGATATTATTGTAAATGAAATAATTTTGAATATTTTGAATATTATACTTATTTAAAAAAAATAAAATAAAATATAATATATTCATAGATAGAATTTTTTTAGTGATATAATTTTTCAAGGAAATGGGAGTATAAATATTTTATTTTTAAATAGAAATTTGTCAACAAAATTTCTACAAAGTTGTATTATTTAATATTCTTTTGGTTGTTTTCTTGTGAAAGGAAACTCTTCACGTGTATGATATGGAGTATAAGGGTCATCTACATAATAGTGTGGTCTTTTCCAATAATGATTTACCATTTTATCCAATAAAGTTGACTGTTTTGCATTACAAAAAACATGCTGTTTTAATTTATATCGCCGTTTAGCATTTTTTTTCCATAATTTTTTATGACGACCAGCAATAGTTCTGATCCATATACCCCTATAAATAAATATCATATATTAATAAATATTATAAAATACATTACTAAAGTCTTATTAAAGTCTTACCAATTTAATCTGTAGAATCTTTTAAGCACAGTTTTCACAGTTTTTCTTTTACCTTTTTTCCTAGAATATTTTATAAGTGTTCTGACAGAAGTTGTTGTAGGTACTAGTGTTGAAGGTACAACGTTATTAACATGTATGTGACTGTGAACATTAATTATATTAATTATCAAGATTAAATAATATTAATTATTTTTATATATATATATATATATAATTTATTTTAAATATACATACCCAAGAATTGGCTTTTGTTCATATAAGAAACATTATTCCAATTATAAATTGTAGAAGAAAATGCTCCAAAGAATCTTTGTTGAATACATTGTGTAATAGGTAATTGTTTAGGAATAAGAGAATTTGTTAAATTGATATTGGTATGCAAAGCTGAAATATAAATACAAAAATAATATTAATTATATTATAAATAATTAAAATTCCATGAAAAAATTGATTTAAACTATAAGATATTAATTGCTCTATTAAGTTAAAGTTCAATATATAGATTTAATAAGCGCGCTCTTGTTTACAATTCCATAATGTTCCTTCTGTCAGAAAATCAAAATGGCTATTCAATTTAAGTGAACATAACCTAGAACATATGAAGTTGCAATGATTATTATACAATGACTTATTGAATTTAAACGAATAACAGTTTAAAATGAAGCTACTAAATTATCATTTAATATAAAATTAGGAGTGTTAGTGAATTCCTAAAAAAGTTTCTATTACATACCTCGAATAGCGATACTAACAATACGCAACATTCTTCTTTTCCTCTAGTTCCGTCGGTAACCAGCTGTTTTGTGCCGTCGTTCCCTTTTTCCTTTGGCTGCCTGACCGGCCACCCGAAAGATGTTCCGAATTGGATTAAAATTTCCGTGCAACGGTCTAAATAGGGTACGTAAAGTAAGTAAAAAGTAAGCGATTGTACCCATATTGATTTGGTGATTTTGCGTTACGTGAATTTGATAAAAAATATGAAGAAATTATAGAAAAAACTATCGTTCACTATGTGCTGATAGACATTACTGTCGCGTCGTTTCCTGTATTGATATTAAATATTTCGTTATTGTTTGCTGCTATTCTGACGAGATATAACTCGTGATCTGCGTGAAAAATCGTAGTCATGTCATGATGACAATGTTTTTGCAAGTTGTCAGTGAATATTCCTGCAAACAAGACCAAGGTTGCCCGCCTCGTGTGACAAGATGGCTTAAATTTAGGAGCTTACATAATTCCAGACGATTTCATCGCCACCGTTGATCTTTCAGGTCAAAAAGAATGGATCCTCCAGACTGTATTTGACAACTAGGTATTATGAGACACGTGCACGAATTAAATACGACCAGGAATGTAGGTGAGTGAACGAATTTTCCGATTGTTTGGTAAGACATTTTTACGAGTGTCACACTTGTCGTTTGAATTGTTTTTTAAAAAAAGAGAATTTAATTGTTGTTTTTATCTTGATCATAAATAATATTTTATTAAAAAAAAGTTCATTAAGAAAAAGTTTTATATATAAAATTTTTTAATTTTTTATTTAGATTTAATTTAGGTTATGTTTGATACAACCTATTTTATTCAATGATTTTGCAAGTTTTATCATATTTAAATGTTTGATATGAATTTTCTTTTTTGTAAAAATTTATTCCAGATTTATTATATAATTATTATATAGTAATTATATAATTATTATATAGTTTGATGATTATATTGGAAATAAAAATGAATATATACATGTAAATTATATAATTAAATAAGATATTATGAATATTAAATCAATTAATGAAAATAAAAACTTAAGAATTAATTTTATGATCATAATTGTGCGTTTTAGATTTTCCAAGGATGTCAAACTTATATCTCGAATACCGATACATAAGTATTCAACTGAAACACCAAAAAGGTATTGAAAGTTTAAATGTGAGACATTTTTATATTATGCATATTATATAACAAAATTATATGTATGTTATTATAATTGAACTCATTAAATTTTAATTTTTTCTTTCTAAAAAATTAAATGTATAAATATGTTTTATAATAAATAAAATAAAAATCATAGAATAAAAGGCAAATCTGTAAATAATTATAATTTTTCTAAATCAACTTAATAAATCTTCTCATATATATATGTATATATATATTTGTAAAATATTTTTATATCAAAATGTTTATCAAATACATTTAATATAAATTACAATATTTATTAAAGGGAGAAAACCAGAGGAACCACAAAAACACTATTAACTTTGACTGCTGTGGCAATAGGAGCATCAGGTGTATTGCTTTATGCAAAACATGATCCAAAATTTCGTGCAAATCTTGAAGGTTGGATACCTGGCACAGACAAGACTATTCAGATCATCTTTCAGGAGGAATCATCCTACTTTGAATTCATACGTACATTCTTTGAAACATTAAAGCAAACGTAAATTTGATTATTTAATATTTAAATTTTTACATAAATAATAAGAATATAGAAATGAATTATTTTATATAAATAATTTATTATTTTTTGTTATTTCAGAATTATAAGTTCCCTTTTTGGAGGAGAACCAAAACAAACAGGTCAGAAAAGAATAGATTGTGAACATATTGAAGATTATATACGTGAGCCTTATTAATAATTCCTAAATCTATTTCCTTCCTTCCTTCTTTTTTTCTTTAATTACTAAACATCAAATTTTGTATTTGTATATAAAAAACTGTTTTTATTCTAATTATTGTTATTATATAAAATTGTTTTTAATTTAGAATAGTTATTATTTTGCTTACTAACATTTAACAATAACGTGTATACTATAGCACCAAAGCCAACTTTTGTACCGCTCATTGATAAGAAGGAACCACCTATTAATGAACCTTATGCTGAAATAAGATTAAGTAAAGAAAAAGGAGAGGAAATTGAAATTGGTAGGTTTTTAAATTTATTATAATATCAAATTTTTTTTTAATAGTAAATAAACATAAATATTATGTCTAGTTGCCGAAAAACCTACGCCGCCTCCTAAGGATGTACCTGAAGAATTAATGCCAGAAAATCTGGTGGAACTAGAAACATCATGCGGTGAAGCTGCAGCTAAAGCTATTGCAGCTTATCAGAAAGCAGTATGTGTTATTCAAGATTACAATAAAGATGTGATGAGAGTTGTAGAAAGTCTTCATGCTACTGTTGGTAGTGCCATTTGGAACAGGTATTTTTTTTTTAATATGTATAAAATTTTCTCTTAAATTACTCTCTTAAACTTAATATTATTATTTGTAATAATTAAAATATTTTTAGACTAAAAGAATCAACTGAGAAGAAGAAGGAGGCCGTTAAAGAAGCAGAAGACCTCGCCAATGAAGCAATTGAATCACTCAATAAAATATATAATTTAATCAAAGATCCTAAATTTGACGCGCCATCACATATGAAAACAGCTGCTCGAAGAAACATTAAGAAAATCATGGATGATGTGGACGAAGCAAAGAAGAAATATCAAACAGAAATAGAATGTGGGAATATGGCAGACCGTTATTGGAAACAAGTCAAAATGGCTCGTGAAAATCTTAACGAAGAACTTCAGATACTATTTCCTAATATCAATATTCATGAAAAAAAAATTACTCTTGATGAAAATACCTTTGATTTGTTTGTCTTGCACATGTATAATAAAGTAAGCAGCTTGCAGAGGGAATTGGAAAAAATAAGGTAAATATTATTACAAAATTCATATTAAGTATCCAAATATAAAGTTTCATAAATTTAAGATTCGTGTTTCATTACAGACGATCAACGAGAGTAGAATCAGAGCAGCATTAAAGGCAACGGGCGAAACAATGACTGAAGAAAGATTGCATACTTAGTGTGCCTTGAATTGGACAAGGAGAAACAGATCTATGAGAGTGAGTTCAGTCAAAAGGTAGGAGGATTAATATTACTTCACCAAATTCCGATAATATAGAAAATTACCAAACAGTAACTGCACTGAAAATTATATATCTGTACTGTACTGATATATACATGCTATTTCTAAATATTACAATACCATAGTTGCATTTATCGTATAAAATAATATTTAACTTTCGAACGAGGTCAAAGAAAATTCAAAACCGCTGTGCAACAGACCGTGTAATAATTTACGTGTAATGCCGTGGAAACTCAAAATTTATGTTCTCACGCATTGTTTGGAAATTATGTGGTTAACTTTTGGTGGGGATATTTACGAACCGCGTGTAAAAAATAACGTCCTCGGTAATAACTCTGTCGAGATAACGCGTATCCTTATTATTAAATCATATGAAACGAGATTCAAATTAATACGAATAGGCCTCCAATCGATATCTGTCTCTAAAGGCAAACGATGAATACATAGGGATTCATGGTATATCGATAGAATTTGGCATTGGAAAAGAACCGTGGCTTATGCCATAACACACTCTGTCGTTATGTACGGATGCACATAGAGGTGTGGCGTATCTCATATTCCTTCTGTGTATGTATACGGATGTATATCTGTCCGTTTGGTAAAGGATGATGGGTGAAGAGGGATGGAGGGATGATTCTGCCACCCTTCGGGCTTTTTATCTATTTCCATTTGGCCCAATGCCAATACTTCGCTAGAGGCAGGCAATATTATCTCTTTAGACTAGTCTTGCGGTATATTCGGTATGCACGCGTCTAGTCACACCGAGATATCCTCGCTCAGAGGAATCACTATGACTTATTGTCGTCATAGTTGTCTCCGGAGTTTGTCCTTTGCCCTCGATTCCATTGGAACTACGAGTTGCGACTCTGGCTTGAATTGTAGAGGAAATTTAGGATGATAGTATACCGATTGACGTATACTAAATATACAGAGTGATTTATTTACTGTTTGAAATATATTTTACTTTCAATTTTAGTTTCTTATTAATGGATTTTTATTAATAATTAAGATTAATTCAATTTTTTAAATTAAAAGAATTTATTATTTACTTTATCTTATTTATTATTGAAATAAATGTGAAATTTTATGTTATTTATTTTATATTACTCAATTATTGATAATTAGCTTCTATTTGTATTTTAATTTTAAAAAGATATAATATAATATTGTATCAATTATTGTTGATGTGAGTGATTTTAAAGAGGATCTTTTTTTAATTTTTTATTGGTTAGTAATATTTTCTAAAATTAATTATTTTCATAATATTTGTAGTTAGTAGTATTTATTAGTTAATATATATTTTTTTATTAATCTCCAATTTTCTTAATATTTATTCTAATACAATTTAGGTTGAAATATTGTCATGAATTAAATATTTTTGGAAAACAGAAATAAATTTGTATATCATATGATTTTTTAATCTCACTGAATAAAGACAAGTTTTTTTTTTTTATTATTGAAAAATAATTATACAATTCTATTTTTGAAAGAATTAAAAGTAAATTTTTATTTTTATTTAATTATTAAATTAATTATATTTTAAAGTAAATGTATAAAATGATTCAAATATCAAACTATTATTGGAATACAATTAATATAAGTTTACACAATTCGATAGAAAATAATGTATTTCCAATATTTCTGCGTCTTGTGAAAAATCTAAATAAAATCAAATCGTAAAATCTTCGAAATCGACAAAACTCGAATGCATTTACGAGCTTCAAAACTCGTTCCCTCGAAATGATTTGCTGCAATATCGACGAGTCGCTTTTCCCTCTGGAGAAAACTTACATCTACTCCGTTGTTTCACATCTTGTTTCAAAATTGAATAGATTGTAGAAAGAATATGCGAATTTTGAAACATCATGAATAATTTCTTCTGTGTCCTAATCGAGGAAAGGGAAGCCGGCCGACGGGAAGAGAGAATTTTTGACAGAAAATTCCTATAGACCTCTGTGGAGGAGATGGGCCACGATGAAAGGGTGGACCTGCTAAATTGTTACTCAACATTCTCGCATAAAATATTCCTTCTGTTCGTTGGCAAGAGTTTCGTAGTTAACGTTATATGCTTCTCCCCTCAAAGGTTTTCAATTTTCTCCAAATGAGGGACAAAGTTGACGTACAGTCTTGCTCGTAAGTATGTGGACACATACTTTGAAATTGTGACAACAAGCTGTTGTTCACAGCTTAAAAACTTGTTAATTTTCACTTTTATTCAAATCTTCGATTTTTCTTCGAGGAATTAAAATTTTCCTTAAACAATAAATTATTTATTCCAAACATTGACAGACAATTTTAATTTTGTCAAATTAAATTTTCCTTCTATAATCTTTCTGTCATTTCACTACTTGCTAGATATTGCAGTATTTATCAATTACTCAACTTTTATCTATTTTTCTATAATCAAGGACACATAGTGTTTACAGTTATCATTGATTTATCTTGATCTCAACAATTAGTTATCACTATGTGGTTTAAAAAAAGCGATAATAAATCTAGAAAAATAGGAGAATTTTTAAAAAGATTCCTATCGTGAAAAATAGGACTTTGGTATAGTTTCTTTTATATGTTCGTAACATTATTTTCGTTTCTCTCAATTAACAACAAATCTCAATCGATATTCTTTCAAAATTCTCATATGTTATAAAATATTAATCTTGAGAAACACTTTGTCACGTTAATTATGCGAGCTGATAATTTCTTCCTTTTTAATAACAATTCACAGCCACAAAGGGTGCGTTTAGCATCATCCTTTATGGATACGGGTAAGGTGTTTTCTGCATTCTTCTTTGTTCCAAACATCTTCCTCGATGAATTAAACATTCATGCGGAGCAGAAATTTTGGCGTCAAACGGAATTCCTTATCATTATTCGAAAGGAATATTGATCCCCGCCGTATCGATGGAAACACGATTCCTCTTTGTAAAAATATGTCATCATGTGACAACATAGATGTCAAGGATAGATTTTTATGCAAATTTGTTTGGATATTTTTATTCCTTTATTTCGCTCGATATCATCAAGAAGGATTGAACAATAAATTGACGTTACGCGAAAGAAGAAGAACAGATATCATTTCTAACTATTTTTAATATATACTCTATTTCTATTGAATATTATTATATACAGAGAGAATTGATAATATTACTGGCCGAATGGAATAGATCGTTAGAGAAGATAATGATAAGAAAGATAACATATTATTTAACGCAGTTGATTGCCTGTATTAAATTATAAAAACTACTAAGAAAAATTAATATTTTAAACTGACAATATACGTTTCAAGAAAGTTTAATAATAATAAATCGTTTTCGAATCTTTCATTTGCTTTTGAAACAATCAAATCTTCTGGTAAAAGAAAAAAAAAGAATATAACGAGTTTGGTTCAGCCAAAATTTCCAGTTCGTAATTCGTGGTAACGTTTTTCATCTTTTCACTCCCTTTTTTTTTTTTTCGTCCAAAATCGATCGTCCTCCCGTGTTGCCCTCTGCTCCCATTACGAAGTTTATGGCCGTAACATAGAATAATTCAGGGCCCAGTCATAGGCATATCAGCGAGAAAAAATCATCCCTAACGCGATTTCAATTTATCCCAGAGTTGGAAATTTGGATCGACTTTCTTCGAATTAAAGAAAGGAAATTTGGGTTAGGAGAGTGTCGAGTTTAGAATTGAATTCTTCATGCTTGTTGCGTGTTAATATTCTGTCTATCGATTCTTTTTAAATCTCGTTATGCGAATATTTCTTTTTCACGTACGACTCATTGAGAGTACAGTTAATTAGGGAGGCTTATGTTTTACATTATAAAACGAGAGAAAAGAGTGTATTTTTGCAATACTCTTGAAGAGTATTTAATTTTGGTAAAAAGTGCATTGTATTCTATCTAAAGAAGTGAATAATAGTTTGAATTTTTTAAATTCAAAAAATCGTTGGGGAAGAAAAGTAAAATTTATAATAAATTCATTCATTCGTGTTATTTTGCATATGTTGCAACGTGATTTAAATAGATCACAGAAAAAGAAGCCTAAAAATCTGAAGGGTTGAATATCGTGTCGTGTTTGATTTATTATCTGCGAGATCGATCGGCTCGAAGCATCCAAAATCCGTGAAAAATGGCCGTGCAACGGATGTTTGAGTTTTTTTTTACGTCTTATGATCTTTTTTTCTCGCAGGAACGGTTTCGGCCACGATTTATGTTCGTGTCCTTTTGTGCTAATCTTACTTATTCCCTGTTACTTTTTTTTCAAAAAACGTTATTCACGGTAACATAATTTTCCCCTTTCTTTTTCTTTTTCTTGTTTGGATAAAGTCTTTTTGAAATATGGGAAAAAAGGAAAAAAGAAAAAAAAGAAAAAATGTGAAAAATTTAGGTGCATGAATTTTGTCAGAATTTGCGCAGGCAGCTGTGAAGTACCGTGTCCGACTATATGCGGGTTAATACTACTTAAATTCTTTCCCTTGCTGTTCCTACTATGTGCTGCTCATTAATTTAATTAATCTTATTTTGTTAATAAGAGATATTAGTCTCGCTTTATTTTTAACCTACTTTTTTAGTACAAATTCTTTTTTTTTTTATAAAATTATATAACTAGCAAAAAAAGAAAGCTGTATCGAGAAGAATATTATTTTCTATTCTTTGCAGTAACTTTAGCTACATTCACTCGATTGATTAGTTTTTATTAAAGCAGAAATAAAAAAAAAACACGAAGAATTACTCAGATGGAATAAAAATAATTTTAATTTTTAAATGATTTATTTATACCACGTTATTTATTGATTATTTCAAATTGCACAGATCAAAAAATATACACCTAAATTTAAAAGAAAAATAG